AATAATGTCCAGGATGGGAGAAAGAACCTTTGTCTGTTTAAAGCAAATGTGACTGTTGCAATTAGCAAGCTTGATTAGAACCGAGTAGCTTTGCAGCTGCAAAGTCAATCAGTGAGGATATCCGGCATAGATGCTTTCACCATGATTGTATTTGTCTCCATGCCGGTAAAAGCCAAGCTTGGATAAGTCATTCTATCGAGGCTTTAATTGCTATAGTACTCCAGACGGCAGAAAGACCATTTCGGAGCAATGATTTGAGTCACACTCTCTCAGCCTGAATTTTGACAAATTCAACATATTGTCGAAGGCTTTCATGGCCGGAATCACTGGATTGTTGTAGTTTTTTTCGGGCTATATGGCCATGTTCTCTCCTGACGTTTCGCCTGCATCTATGGCAAGCATCCTCAGTACCTCACTACCTCTGAGAATGCTTGCCATAGATGCAGGCGAAACGTCAGGAGAAAATGCCTCCAGAACATGGCCATATAGCCCGAAAAAACCTACAACTCAATTCAACATAGTTTTTGTCACAAAATACAAAGTTTCTGGAGTTGAACAACTAATCTCAAAATATGGACCACGCCTTAAAACAGGAAATAACACTTTCAAACCAAGAACAGAATATGTATATATGTATGTGTGTATATGTGTATATATAATTATATGTGTGTATGTGACTATAGTTCCAAGTACTGAAAAGCCTCCAAAGGCACTTCCTCCACTGATATTACAGGTTACAGCAAGCACCCTGAACATGTAGCCTAAATGGTGCCAATGTCCTCCCCAAACACTATGGACCATCACTCAAGGAATGCTTTCGTTCAGGGACAATTTCTTCCTATAGTCGACGTGTTTCCTCCACCACAGCCAGGCATCCCTGGGTTCCTTTCTCTCTCCATTAGTGTGCAATTTGCATTACCCCGCCCACTGCCTCTCCCTTACTCTTTTCAACTCTGCATAACAAACAGAGCAGAACTCAGCAGCAACTGAACATACTAGAGGAGTTTGGGGATTGACTCCACATGATGGAAATTGTAGTTCACCCTGCATCAAGTCGGAGCACACACTGACAATGAACCTGGACCACATTTGGAACCCACATGACCAACTAAAAATACTAGAAAAGTATGGGGGGAATTCACCTTGATTTGTAGCCATTGTAGGTACTGGGATTTATGGGTTGTTGTAGGTTTTTTTGGGCTATATGGCCATGTTCTAGAGGTATTCTCTCCTGATATTTCGCCTGCATCTATTGCAAGCATCCTAGAGGTAGTGAGGTGCTTGCCATAGATGCAAGCAAAACGTCAGGAGAGAATGCCTCTAGAACATGGCCATTTAGCCCGAAAAAACCTACAACAACCCAGTGATTCCGGCCATGAAAGCCTTCGACAATACACTGGGATTTATAGTTCACCTGTAATCCAAGATCACTCTCTACCTCACCAACGATGGCCCTGGACCCAACTTAGCACACAGATCCCCTATGATAAATACTAAATGCAGAATGGCTTTGGTGGAAATTCACCTTGATTTAAAGGAATTATAGTTCACCTATATCCAGAGCGCACTGTGAATGCAAACAACAATGGATCTGCACCAAATTTGCCACGCATACCCAATATGCACAAATTTGAATACTGGTGGATTTGGGGTGGAATTGGCCCTGACATTTGGGTGTTGTAGGTACTGGGATGTATAGTTCACCCGCAATCAGAGTACTCTGAGCCCCACCGATGGTAGACTTGGACCTTACTTGGCAGAAAGAACCGCCATGACCCACTGAACGTACTGGAGGGATTTGATGGGACTGACCCACCATGGTGGGAGTTGTAATTCATCCCACAGCTGGAGAGCACAGTGAACTCCACCAATGATGCATCTAGAGCACATTGCACAACATGACACATTTTAAGTATTGATGGAGTTTTAGGGAGTTAACTGGGCATGATGTGAGTTGTAGTTCACCCACAACCTTAGGCATTTTGTAAAATGGACAAATGACTTCCTCTAATAACTCGGGCAACGCCGGATACCCAAGCTTGTGTGTGTGTGTGTATGTGTATGCCAAAACCTGGCAGTAATGCAATGCAACTTTAATGCCCAATTTGTGAGCCCAGCCGTCAAGTGATTTTTGCTTCAGCCTTTAAACAGCAGTCTCATTTCCATGAAGATTGCTGCAATCCAAATTTCTATTCAAAGCCAAGCAGTGATCCATTTTTATTCTGGCATCTGATTCTGTAGACAACTGATTTGGATGAGTTGCATTTGCCCTTGAAGAATGGATAGGCTGTAGAATTAACACAGTTTGGTGCCACTTCCATGGCCATGGCTCGACAATGATAGCATTCGAAGATGTGTAGGATACATAGAAAGGCCTTGCCTGTCAGAGAGGTCGTGTGCCACAGCAAACTACAAATCCCAATAGTCTATAGCAGGCATGGGCAAACTTCGTCCCTCCAGGTGTTTTGGACTTTGACTCCCACAATTCCTAACAGCCGGTAGGCTGTTAGGAATTGTGGGAGTCGAAGTCCAAAACACCTGGAGGGACGAAGTTTGCCCATGCCTAGCTTATAGCTATAATTTTGCTTTATATTTCTGGTCCAAAAGAGAGAGAGAGAAGACTATTTTGCATGTCCAGGATGAAAAGATATAAAGATATAATGGATTTGTTTCAGCCTTCAATGTGAACACAGGGGTTGCTTTTTCTTCTTCTAACAAATTCGGTTTCAAAGAAGGGCATCTAGAAGTAAATGCAGTTTGGCACCACTTTAATTGCTATGGAGTTCTGGGAGATGTAGTTTGACAAAGCCCTTTGCCTTCTCTGTCAAAGAGTGAGCGCTCTTGCCTCATCAAACCCCATAGTAGCTAAAGTGGTATCAAACTGCATTAAATTCTACTGTGCAGACAGGGTATGGGTAAACCAAGACCCGAGGGCCGGATGTGGCCCCTTGGGCTTTTTTCTCAGGCCCTCCTCTCTCACACAATCCTTCCTTCCTCCCTCTTTCCTCTCCCTCTTCTTCCTTCCTTCCATCCTTTTTCCTTTCTTCCCTCCTTCCTTCCTTCCTCCTTCCTTCCTCCTCCTCTCCTTTTTCCTTCTTCCCTTTTGTCTTTCCCTCCTTCCTTCCTTCCTCCTTCCTTCTCTTCTTTTCTCCTCCCTTCTATCCTTCCTTCCTCTCTCTTTCTCCTCCCTCCTTCCCTTCTCCTTTGTCCTTCTTCCTTCCTTCTTTTCCTCTTCCTTCTTCCCTCTCTCTTTCTCTTCCTTCCTCCTTCCTTCCTTCCTTCCTTCCTTCCTTCCTTCCTTCTTCCTTCTTCCCTCCTTTTCTCTTTTTTTCTTCCTCCCTCCCTTCCCTTCTCCTTCTCTCTCCCTTCTTCCTTCTCTTTTTCATTGCTCCTTCCCTCCCTTCCTTTCCTCTCTCTTTCTCCCTCCCTCCTTCCCTTCTATACTTTTGTCCTTGCTTCCATCCTTCTTTCCTCCCTTCTTCCCTCTCCCTTTCTCCTTCCTTCCTTCCTGCCTGCCTGCCTGCCTGCCACTGCACAGTGGCCTAGGCTGCCTGGGAGTGTGGTGGATTCTCCTTCTCTGGAGGCTTTTCCGCAGAGGCTGTCTATTGGGAGCGCTTTGACTGTGCCTTCCTAGATGGCAGGGGACCTTGGGGATCTTCCAGCTTTAGGATTTTAAGATTATATACCAGGAGTAGGCAGTATGGGGTCTCATGGATACATTTTTTTCTCCCATCCATCATCTCATCCTGTCCAAGGCCAACTCTTTCCTCCCTCCTTCCTTCTCTCTTTCTCCTTCCTTCCTTCCTTCCTTTCTTCCTTCCCTTTTGTATTTCCTCCATTCCCTTCCACCGTCCCTCCATCCTTCCTTCCTTCCATCCATCCATCCTTCTCTTCCTCCTTTCCTTCCTTCCTTCCCTTTTGTTTTTCCTCCATTCCCTTCCACCATCCCTCCATCCTTCCTTCCATCCATCTGTCCTTCTCTTCCTTCCTTCCTTCCTTCCTTCCTTCCTTCCTTCCTTTTGTCTTCCTCCTTCCCTTCCACTTCCCTCCATCCTTCCTTCCATCCATCTGTCCTTCTCTTCCCTTCCTTCCTTCCTTCCTTCCTTCCTTCCTTCCTTCCTTCTCTTTTTCCTTCCTCCTTTCCTCCTGGGGGATATTTACCTGGGAGAAGAGAAGGTAGAGAGGCAACATGAGAACCATCTTTCAAGATTTCAAAGGAGAAGGGAGGGCAAAAACTGACTTTCTGCTGCTCCAGTGACCAGGGCACAAGAAGGGAGCAATGGGTTCAAATGGCAGGGAAAGATTCTACTAAAAAGATGATTAAAAAACTTCCTGGAGAGTGGCACAGGCTGCCTGGGAATGTGGTGGAGTCTCCTTCTCTGGAGGCATTTCCACAGAGGATATCTATCGGGAGTGCTTTGATTGTGCCTTCTTGCATGGCAGGGGGTTGAACAAGATGGCTTTTGTGGGTCTCTTCCAACTCTAGGATTCTATTTCAGGAGTAGGCAATACAGGGTCTCACGGATGCACTTTTTCTCTTCCGTCCACCATCTCATCCTGACCAAGGCCAATCCTTTTGGGATCCAAACCTTTCCTGTCTTTCCTTCACTTTCTGCCTCCGAAAGAGAAGAGGAAGGGGTGGAAAGGGTAGGAAGGGGGCTTGGGGAGAACCCCCTCCCTCCCGGCCCTCCCACCCTGCTCCGGCCCACCATGCAGCCCCCAAGTTAGAAAGTTTGCCTGTGTAGACACACCCACAGATAACCAGAGAGCGGTTGGCAGTGGTTTTTCCGGTCTTTCTTTCTTTCTTCCTTGCCTTTCCATTTTGATATGGACCCAAACCTTTCCACAACAAAGAGAGCAAACAGCCCACACTATGAATTATCTATGCCTTAATGGCGGAGTGACACCACCCCTTTGCAAACTTGGCAACTCTCAACCGTACCTCTGCTGAGCTTTGGAAGGAAGCTGAGCCAGGGAGAAAAAAAACCAACAATCAGCCGGAAGATCTTTCCTTTGTTTATGCCGGTGGCACATTGTCTTTTAGTGAAAAAATACTTTGGCAGAAAATACATCATACAGAAGGTGTGTGCCGAACCATGGGCGGCACAGGGCACGGCACCGAAGCACAGTCCACAAAAGGCCCATTTCTCTCCCCCAAACAACAATCAATAAATAGAGTTTCCCATTCTATTAAATACCACGGAGCACCCCTTTCCTAGGTCTCCCCTTTCTCAGCCTCACCAGGCCGTCTGGGTCCACTGGCGGCAAAGGATCCTCCGGAAGGCCTTGCGGAAGTCCTGGTTGAAGATGGTGTAGATGACCGGGTTCAAGGAGCTATTGCAGTAGCCAATCCAGAAGAAGAACTTGAAGGTGAAGTCCGGGATGGGGCAGCGCCTGGCTGAACACACGGCCCGCAGGCTGTAGAGAAAGAAGAAGGGGAACCAGCAGATCACAAAGACCCCGATGACCACGGCCAAAACGAAGGTGAAGCGCTTCTCCCGGTTGAGGTGGGTCTTCCGCTTCCAAGGGTTGGCGCTCAGGGTCTTGACTCTACGCACCAGCAGCACCTCTCCTTTGGCTGTGGCCAAGGTGTCCATGCCCAGCGGAGAGCGAGATGGACTGGATAGTTTGGTCTTCTTCACTTCCTGGCTCACAAAGTGATGAGACTCAGGCCAGTCATCTTCTTGGATGGTCACCTGATGGCCATTGGGTTTTCTTTCTCTTTCCATCCTCAACTGATGCCCATTGGGTTCTTGTTTTTCTCCCATCCTCAACTGATGCCCATCTGGTTCTTCTGCTTGCATTCTCAAATTATGTTCAGTGGGCTCGTCTTGCATGGTCACCTGATGCCCATTGTGTTCCCATTCTTCTCCCATCCTCAAATGATGCCCAATGAGTTCTTGTTCTTCTACTCTCCTCAACTGATGTTGATTGGGTTCTTGTTCTTCACCCATCCTCAAATGATGCCCAATGGGTTCTTCTCGCATGGTCACCTGTTGTCCATTGTGTTCTCCTTCTTCCTGCACAGTCAACTGATGCCCCTTGTATTCTTTTCTCACCCTTAAATGATTCCCATCAGGTTCTCCTTCTTGCAACATCAACTGATGGCTGTTGGGTTCTTCTCGCATCCCTACATGATGCCCATTGGGTTCTTGTTCTTCTGCCACGGTCACTTGGTGCCCATTAGGTTCTCCTTCTCCTGTCAATGGTTTGGTAGAACTTGTGATTTGGATCTGGGGCACCTTCTTGCCCACCTTGGCTTTCTTTGGCGTTGCCCCTTTCCGGCTCCGTCTCTTGGCGATAAAGTAGATCCGGATGTACACCAGGATCATGATGAGGCATGGCGCAAAGAAGGAGCAGGTGCTGGAGGAGAGGATGTACCAGGGCTGTTCATTGAGCTCACAGTGCTTGGTGTCCTCCTGTGCCTCACTGGGGTCGGTATTGAAGACCAAGGGAGGAAGGGAGATCAAGGCGGCAAGGAGCCAGACCACAAGGATGGTGCACTTGATCCTCCGCGGCGTCCTCTTGGAGTTATACTCAATGGCTTGGCTGACAGACCAGTAGCGGTCCAAGCTGATGGCACAGAGGTGAACGATAGAGGCTGTGCAGAAGAGAACATCCAGCGCCAGGTAGGCCTTGCACCAGACCTTGTCGAAGTACCAGTAGCCCATCAGCTCATTGGCCAAGGAGAAGGGGATGATGAGTGTGGCCACCAAGATGTCCGCAGCCGCCAAGGAGACCAAGAAGAGGTTCTGCGGGGCTTTCAAGGAGCGGCTGGTCAGCACAGCGATGATGACCAGGACGTTGCCAAAGATGGTGAAGAGAATAAGGAAGGTGGTGACAGCGGCGATGGCGGCCGTAGCTTGGACGTTGTAGCCATCATGGCCACCCATCACTGCCAGAGTCATCTTGGAAGAGGCAAATCCAAGCAAGACGGTCCACGGTCTCAGCTTTGCAATGTCTTCATTTCGACTTGGCTCAGAGAAGGAGAGAGAAGCCCAACATTTGGTGTCCAAAAGTCAAGAAAAGATGCTTCGTAGACTAATTCGGAGCACCGAAGGAGGTCAAGGAGAGAGAGGCTGGAGCACAACACACAGCACTCAGGGTCCGGACACCTGGAAAAAATGTTCTGATAGCTAGTTCAAAGTCAAGCAGAGAGTACTTGGAACACAATACCCAACATTTGATGTTCAAACGTCAAAAAAAGATGCTTCGTCGACTAATTCGGAGCAGCGAAGGAGGTCAAGTAGAGAGAAGTTGGAGCACAATACACAATATTTGGTGCCCAGACATCAGGAAAAGGTTCTCAGATGGCTATTTTAAGGTCAGGGAGAGAGAAATTGGGACACAGTATCCAACATTTGGTGTCCAAACATCAGGAAAAAATGCTCTAATAGCTATTTCGAAGTCAAGGAAAGAGGCATTGGGACACAATGCCCAACTTTTGGTGTCCAGACATCAGGAAAAGATGCTCTGATGGCTATTTCGAAGCCAAGAAAAGAGACGTTGGGACACAATACCCAACATATGGTGTCCAAACATCAGGAAAAGATGCTCTGATGGCTATTTCAAAGCCAAGGAGAGAGACGTTGGGACACAATACCCAACATTTGGTGTCCAAACATCAGGAAAAGATGCTCTGATGGCTATTTCAAAGCCAAGGAGAGAGATGTTGGGACGCAATACCCAACATTTGGTGTCCAAACATCAGGAAAAGATGCTCTGATGGCTATTTTGAAGGACCGAATGAGGTCAAGGAGAGAGAAGTTGAGCACAATACCCAACATTTGGTGTCCGAACATCAGGAAAAGATGCTCCGGTGGTTCATTCCTTCTGGCACAGTCACCTCCATCTCCACCGAGCCTTTTGTCCTTCTCTTCTGTCGAAGTTAAGTCCTTTTGTCCCTCTATTCTGCTGAAGTTTATTCCACAGTTTCTTCTTTTTTGCTGGGAAAGTTGAGAGAAAGGCAGTGCATTTCTGTCTTGGATGCTCAGCTGCCGCTGCTGCCGCTGCCGTCTTTCTCTGCCCAACCTCTCTGTGCCTTTTGAAACCAGCTGCAGGAGGAGTTGGGCTTGCTTTCCTCCTTCTCTCTGACGTTTGCCTGCGATGTCAGGCAGTTTTTCAGCTCCTGTCAAGCTGTGGGAGGGGAAGGGAAAGAAAGAGGCAGTAAAAGTGGAAGGGGATGGACACAACCACACAACCAAATAGGAAAAGCCACTCGCCTCTTGCCAATCGACTGTCTTTGCAGTGCTAAGGATACTTACATGCTATAGAATGGATGCACTTTGACAGTGCTTTCACTACCACAGCTCAATGCTATGGAAACATGAGAGTTATCATTTGGAGAGGCACAAAGCAGGTGAAAGACCTTGCAAAACCACAACTCCCACAATCCCATAGAACAGTGTTTCTCAACCTTCCTAATGCTGCATACTGCATTCATTCAACAGTGGAGATGCACCCATTGCTTGCCAGCACTTCCTCTCCAGCATTCCTCTTCCTAGAGCAGTGCTTCTCAACCTTACTAATACAGTTCCTCATGTTGTGGTGACCCCCAACTATAACATTATTTTCGTCGCTACTGTAATTTTGCTACTGTTATGAATCGTCATGTAAATATCTGATATGCAGGATGTATTTTCATTCACTGGAATAAATTTGGCCCACATACGCCCACATTTGAATACTGGTGGGGTTGGGGGGTATTGATTTTGTCATTTAGGAGTTGTAGTTTCTGGGATTTATAGTTCACCTACAATCAAGGAGCAATCTGAACTCCACCAACAATGGAATTGAACCAGTCTTGGCACACTGAACTCCCCTGACCAATAGAAAATACTAGAAGGGTTTGGTGAGCATTGACCTTGAGTTTTTGGAGTTATAGTTCACCTACCTCCAGAGAGCACTGCAATAATAATAATAATAATAATAATAATAATAATAAGTGATTTTATGTGCCTGTCACATAAAACCACCATGTCAGACTACACAGAGAAGCCATTGAAATCCACAAGCATGTGGACAATTTCAACAGAAAGGAAGAAACCATGAAAATGAACAAAATCTGGCTACCAGTATTAAAAAACTCAAAAATTACAACAGCAAAACAACAGAGGGGAGACAAACAGGCACATAAAATCACTCTCAACAAAAGATTCCCCCCAGGCACTTCCAAGCCATTGAATGCTAATCAAGGTGATCAGCTGAAACATTCACACCTAGCCCAAGCAGACAAAAGTCCTTTGTCTCACCCTGGTCATTCCACAGATATATAAACCAACAGACCTCACTACCTCTGAGGATGCTTGCCATAGATGCAGGCAAAACATCAGGAGAAACATTGCCTCCAGAACATGGCCATATAGCCCGGAAAAACCTACAACAACCCAGTGATTCCGGCCATGAAAGCCTTCGACAATACAATAATAATGCAATTACATAAAACAAAAGACAACATAGCAATATAAAGTTACAATAAACACAATAAACACAATCACGGTAATATGGGCGAGCTACATGTAATGGATAAAAGAAAATTGGGTAGAAACAGATTGAAAACTCAGGCGAGATAAACACGAGATAAACAAGAACAGATTATTTGCGGAGGAGACCCAAATGTTTGTAGACCCAAACACTGATGGATCTGGACCAAACTTGGTACAAATACTCAATATGCCCAAATGTGAACAGTGCTGTAGTTTGGGAGAAATAGACCTTGACATTTGGGAGTTGCAGTTGCTGGGATTTATAGTTCACCTACAATCAAAGCGCATTCTGAACCCCAACAACAATAGAATCGGGCCAAAGGTTACCTGTCTGAACGTATTCTCCCCTATGAACCATCAAGGACGTTGAGATATGGCATGGCCTGACTTACCAGGCCATGGAGGTTGCGGTGAGGGGTGTTCCCCTCCGCTATTTGGCCTGAGGGGGCTTCGTCCTCCCAGAAGCCCCCTCGCCCAGCGGCAAAGTTCCTGCGGTTCAGAAAGGTGGCCCTATCAGCGGCCGGCCACGCCTCCTGGCATGAGAGCCCACAGCTGGCCTCTCCTCCCTCGTGGGCAGCCTACTTAAGGCTGCCTTGGGCCCACCTTCAGTCTCTGGGCCTGCAACAGCTGATATCCGGTTTGGTATCCCCCCCCCTCAGCGGTGAAGGGGGAACACCTGGTGTCTCAGGGGTGCTGAGTACATTGGGCCCGGTATTGTGCCGGCGGCACCCCGGTGTGTCTCGCGGTATCGGACAGCAGTGGGCTGCCCGATCTTGATCCAGGACCCATGCATGGCTGCCAACCCTTGTTCCTGTTATCAATCAATGAGTTGTGGCCATTGTTTATCCCAATACCTTGTGTGAGTGGTTTTTCTTGGGCTGGCGGGGGAAGGTGTATCGCCCGTGCACACGCAACTTCCAGAGAGGCCCTGCTCTCGGTCCCACCACCTTCACAAGCGCGTTTAGTGAGAGCGGGAGACAGAGCCTTCTCTGTGGTGGCCCCTCAGCTATGGAACTCTCTCCCTAGCGAGATTAGATCTGTCCCCTCCCTCTTGTCCTTCAGGAGGCTAGTGAAATCCTGGTTATGGAACGAAGCATTCCCAGAAGAATGGCTGAGACTGGTTATAGACCAAAATGAGTGACCACATGAGTTGAGCATGATTTTACCTTGGCGATTGGGTATATATGTATTTTATCTACATCTTATATTGTTGTATGATGTTTTAACTTGTATTAGTAGCATTGAATCCTTGCTGTAAACTGGTCTGAGTCCCTCTATGGAGGTGAGAAAATCGGGATATAAAAGTTTTAAATAAATGAATACTAAACTTCCCACGCAGAACCCCCGTGCCTTGAAGGGACTCGTTGGAGCGATCCTCCCTCCAGCCTCACACGCTCTCCCTCGCTCGCACATGCACACCATGCTGCCATGCATCGAGCACGCCTGCTCTCTCAAAACAGCCCTCCCCTTGGCTGAGAGGCCAGCCAATCACAGCAGAGGAGGGCTTTTGGTGGGAGTATTCACCCTCTGTTTACAAAAAGGAAGAGAAGGACAGATGGAGAGATCTTCCGCCTTCTTTGCAAAGAGATTCCTAACACCATCGGAAATATATATTTTATGACGATCGTCTTTGGCGACCCCTCCGAAACCCCCTTGCAACCTTCAGATTGTGAAACACTGCCATAGAATCTCTCTTGATTTTGGAAAGACTCAGTCAGACTTTGCAAGGAAAATGTCCGTTTTGAGCAAAGGGCCCAGAAAAGACAAATAAGTGCCTTTCTCAACAGAATGGGGCAAGAGTTCCCCAAGCTGCTTCCCAGGCTAAATCTTGGCTTGGATTCAATGCAGCCTCATCTAGCTTCGAAATGGGAAATCTAAAAGGCTCTCTTAATTCTGTGGAGGAAAAGCCAACGTCGACACTTGGAAGCACTGATGCATGAAGAGTAGCAACAAAGAAGCTTGAGTTTCAGACGAGAGCGGGTCTTTTCTCAAGCCAAAAGGTCTTGATTGCCATGTCATTTTATCAAGCTTGTATTAAAATAATGTCAGCTCACAGCAAGGCATTGCTTCTCGGAAGAGGAATGCTGGATTGGAAGTGCAGACAAGCAATGGGTGCATCAACACCCTTGAATGAATGCAGTGCGATGCCACATAATAATAATAATAATAATAATAATAATAATAATAATAATAATAATAATAACAACTAGCGGTCCCCAGTCTGGTGATCTGTCATAAACATATGTGTGCATGAATCATATATATTTATCTATATCTATGACTAGATGGCTCTTTTTCAGGAGGACTATACATTTTCTTGCTCTGGTGAAGGGAGTTGGAGTGGATGGCCTTAAGGCAGCATTTCTCAACCTGGGATTTGGGACCCTTGGGGGGGGGGGGGTTGCGAGGGGATGTCAGAAGGGTAACCAAAGACCACCAGAAAACAAAGTATTTTCTGTTGGTCATGATGGTTCTGTGTGGGAAGTTTGCCCCAATTCTGTCGTTGGTGGGGTTCAGCATGCTCTTTGATTGTAGGTGAACTATAAATCCCAGTAACTACAACTCCCAAATGTCAAGGTCTATTTCGCCCAAACTCCATCTGTGTTTATATTTGGGCATATTAAGTATTCGTGCCAAGTTTGGTCCAGATCCATCACTGTTTGAGTCCACAGTTCACTCTAGATGTAGGTGTACTACAACTCCAAAACCCAAGGTCAATGCCCACCAAACCCTTCTGGTGTTTCCTGTTGGTCAGGGGAGTCCTGTGTGCCAAATTTGGTTCAATTCCATTATTGGTGGAGTTCAGAATGCTCTTTGATTATAGGTGGACTATAAATCCCAGCAACTACAACTCCCAAATGACAAAATCACAATTTTTTGAGTGATGGTCACTCCTTGTGTAGTGAGACATATTGTTGCCAAATTTGGTGTGATTTCGTTCATTGGTTCTTTTGTTTTTAAGGTACTCATTATGCACAGAGCATTTATATATATGTAAGCCGCACCGAGTCCCTTGGGGAGATGGTAGCGGGGTACAAATAAAGTATTATTATTATTATTATTATTATTATTATTATTATTATTATTTAACCAGAAACTACATTCATCTGGCATCTCGTATGGGTGTCTACTGTAACACATTGCATATAATAATCATCATCATCATCATCATCATCAATCATTATAGAGAGGCTGGATATCTCTTGGGGTCTCTTCCAATTCTAGAATTATTATTATATATATATATGGATATCTCTTGGGGTCTCTTCCAATTCTAGAATTATTTATATATATATATATATATATATATATATATATATATATATATATAAAATAATCCTTAGATCAGCAATTATGACACAGAAAGAGATCTCCCCAGGCCCTCTCCCCTCGACCTTCTATAATGATTATTATTATTATTATTATATATTCTGTCTTTTGAATTATTTTATATATATATATATATATATATATATATATATATATATATATATATAAAAATAATTCTAGAATTGGAAGAGACCCCAAGAGATATCCAGCCTCTCTATAATGATTGATGATGATGATGATGATGATGATTATTATATGCAATGTGTTACAGTAGACACCCATACGAGATGCCAGATGAATGTAGTTTCTGGT